TACTCTGAAAAATTATATCAAACACACATCACTCCTGTGGTAAAGAAGAATCAATTAACAGCTCTGCATACACAGTGGGGTTGTGTATTTTGTTCCCAACATGATAATAAAATATTGACTTTGTATCTGAGAAACTCACCTCGGGTCTGACTTGTTGCAGATACATCTGAAGTTTCTGGCCAACACTTCCCCCTTTGCCCTTGAAAATCTCAAAGAAGTGAGAGGTGTATTTGTCAAGTTATTCTGTCCACCGGATCGTAGACTCCCATCGGCGAGGTTGCGGCTGGCAGTACCTCGTCAACTGGGAAGGCTACAGTCTGGAGGAGCGCTCTTGGGTCCCGGGTTCTTTTATATTAGAACCATCTCTCATCTCTGATTATCGTTCCTCGCTGCCCTCCAGCTCTTCTAGGCCGCCAGGTGGCGACTGTTGAGGGGGGGCGGTAGGGGCACTGTTATGTTCCAGGGTTCTTTGGGTTTTCTTTGTGGGTTTCTTGTGTGTACACTACTTTATTCCAACCATGTGTTGTCACCAGCGCACCTGACTCGAATCTAGTTCATCAGCGGCAGGTTCAAGAGGAGCTGACTGCCAGACCTTTGCCGCTTGAGTGTTTGCCAGTAATGTTAACTCTGAGCCCCTAGAGCAGGGGTGGGCACTCCCGGTCCTCAAGAGCCGGTCTCTTGGAACTTTTAGATGTATCTCTACTTCAACACACCTGAATCAAATAATGAGGTGATTAGCAGGACTCTGGAGAACTTGATTGCATTTAGGAGGTGATTCAGCAATTGGATTTAGGTGTGTTGGACCAGGGAGACAACCAAGAGTTGCAGGACACCGGCCCTCAAGGACCAGGGGTGCCCACCCCTGCCCTAGAGCTTGTCTCTATGTTCCTCGTTGATCTACTCCTAGTAATTTTTCCCTGTTGTTCCTCCCATCTTCAGGTGATCCCTCGTGACGCCCCTGATCCACTCTGTGCTGATCCTTTCTGGCTTTCCTATTGAGCCCTTCCTCATGACGCCTTGGAACGTACCCATTGGTTGCCCAAGTTCCCAGACTCACCTTCTCTGTTTGACAAGTTTCTCCTGGATTTCCACGACTGACAGTCGCACCGCTCCTCTGTTCCCACTGATCTTGAGCCTACCTGTCTGCCCTCTGATGTACTCCTCCGTTGCCTCCTGGATTCCCGCCAGCACACACAACGACCACCTGGACCCACAGAGAGACTGAGACCCCGGACATTGCAGTTACCCTCCCAAAACCTCGAACCACCAGCCACAAGCAAGATCTGTCCAGTTCGTTTGACAACGCTTTCATTTCCCACAACCCTGAACACACCACCCTGCTCTGCTTCTCTAGTGTGCCGATTGTTCCCTGAACCTGATTCCCCCTTGGACCAGACCCGAGCCTCCATAACCAACATGTTTCAATAAACATTAACATTTATTTCATAAATACTGTCTTGTGTTGTGTTCTGCATGTGGGCTTGAAACAAAAGACACCCATCATGACACTGCTACTCACTATGCATTTACTCTGTTTCCAGTGTTCACATTACCTCCTGCCACCTGGCTCCCAGACAAAGAAGCACATCCCTAATTAATAGTTCAATAAATTTTATTAACCTTTACCAACCTTGTCCTGAGAGTGTTCTATATGTGGGTCAGATATATTAGAAAAAACATGTTCTAAAAGGTAATTTGTAGTTGCAAGCACATGAATTAATTACTTATCATGTATGCACATCTGTTTTTAAAGGGGCAGTATTATGTCAAATAAACTTTTTAAATACGTTATGTTCTTCTCTCATCAAAAACAAACCTATAGTGTTGCCTTAATTCTTTTGTGAATATTTGAGAAATCCTTGAATCTCTCATTCAGCTTTGCAAAACACCATTCTGGTTGGACGTAGCTCTGCCTTTGAGGGACAGTTCCTCCTCAGAGCTGCTTCACACCGCAGCCCTCCACCACCAATTTAACAGAAGGAAATCGGCTCTTCAACAATGCAGACAATTTTCTATCAAACTGGCAGACTCCATAAGTCACAAGCAATCATTGGTGATTGGGCAAAATGTAAAACCTCAACACAGTCAACAAACCCAGGAAGAAATCGTTTCACAGTAGCTGAGAGCCCAGAACCTCTGGACGAAGAAAAGCACAGAAGAAGCAGCTGGATTTCCCCAGGTTGGTAATGCTCCACCATAACTCTATGAAGTTTATCTGAAATTTACCTGTGCTTTAAACAACTATCCTCCACTATGAAGAGAGAAAAGCCAATCTGAAAGAGGAGGTTGTTCATATTAATTCAATGTTTGGAAACGTGAACTGAACAGCTTCCTTCACTTCCTCCACTGCCATTGCTAAAACTGCAGGCAGACTGCAATTCTAGAGTCACCATTTACAACCTATTTTTTTTTGTTTGCTTATTGGCCCGGTAAAAAGTGAAGGATTTAATCAACTGTCTGAAATGAGGCCGACCCACCGTGACAGGGTCAGGAACTTAAACACATTTCAATGTTGTTTTATACTTCTTTAATTTTACCTCCTTAAAAATACAAACACTGCCCACCAACAACTTTTTGTTTTGATCAAAGGAAATTCTTGTTATTTTATTACTCAGACACTTTGAGAACCTTGTTCCAAAACTTGACTCCAGCTAAACTGGGCTACTGTAATCTCTGCCACACAGAATATTTTTAGACTACTATTTTTGTGTGACAGCTTGGTGACTGCAGGTCTTGAGATACAGTTACTTCTGGAGTCCACATTAAAACATCAGACAATCCATCATCTCAGGCTCGTAGTCAGAAAAGATTAAGTCAGCGACACAAGAGGCTAACAAGAAGAGGGCACTACAAATCAGACAATTTTTTTCCTTTTTTCTGTTACTGAGCACATGGACGTTCTGCACAGCAGCAGATAAATACAAACACTTATGTCATATATTCAGTTTCTAAAATGTCTATAAAAGCTATCCATGTCTTCTGACAAAGGAAGACGTCGTCTTTTGCAGATACTGTAGACTCTCAGCCCCACACTGACTGACATCGTACGATCACTGTTCATTTTTCTCATAAATAACTGTTCCTATCATTCAGCTTGTTACAAAAGCTCATCTTGAATAACCATAAAAACTGAGTTAAAATCATCAGTCCAACTTATTAAAGGCAAATAAGTGATAACATTGTTTTGGGGCATCAGCAAAATAGTTTACTGTCACAGTGGAAGAAAATTGGTACAAGGTGCTCAAAATGTCAAATGAAAATAACATTGGATAACAGAATCCAATGGAAAACAATCAGAGAAGCAGCCAACTGGTAGAACTACAGAGATTTACACACATGTAGAAATGGCAAACTTGCAGAAACATGACTATTATTGTACAAGTTACAGCTATTCTATTTTAAGTTTTCATATTATTAAGTAAATCAGTCTCATGTATCTCACCATTACTTAATGGTGAAATACCAAAACATGATATTCCCATATAAACTTTTCTATCAAAACTATTGCAGAGTTATTACAACTGTAAACAAGCAGCTTTTGACTTATCAGTCTGACATGAATTATAAGAATTCCCAATTTAATATATTATCCATTTTAAAGGTCAGGAGCCCTCATGTACAAAAACTATGCAGATCTCCTATTATAACATGCTGTTCCTTTAAGTCCAGAAAACTTCTGTGGACTTCTGGCCATTCTGCACAACAATCGGACAATGTAAACTGACAAAATAACCAACAACATCTGTGTCATTAAAACAGCCCTTGGTGTTGACTGAACATCTGTCTGACAGAGTGAGTGATTTGCAGGTTGGTCCCCCTACATGTGCTCCAGGACTTAAGCTGGGCCAGGTTGCTGATCTTTCTGTTATGACCCCTAGAGAGCAGCACAGCCCCACCTCACAGGGCAGAAGAAGCGGCTGGTCAGCCCTGGAATCCAGAGAGGGATAAAAGAAAGGGTTGCACATATTCATCTTAAATCTAAAATGAGGTGTGCTCCAAATGATTGTTTTGCAAAACAATATTATGAATACTGACAAAGATAGACTTTCCATTCATGCTGTGGTTGATGGCATAATACAGAATTAATTAGTTGGCACTTAAAAAGTTTTATTCTAGCAGAATAAAATCAGTTCAGGTCTTATTCCACTAGGATAATCCCACTCTAAAAAATGTTAAATCCAACCTCAATCTTCATCAAACGTCCATCTTGGCTTTTCCCTGATTCCTTTTTGTCTGCAGCTCTGTCCACAGATCTAATTTCATGGGATTCACAGTGATATGAACCTTTTCTGGGTTGATTTGGTTGTTTTGGATCAGGAAATCTGGAAAAATAGCAAGTCCACAGCACTACAGGTCCTGCAATGTATGTAACAGTACGGTCCTTCTTTAATTAGACATACATTTTACTTACTTTTCTATATATCCTTCATGGTCATATACATTTTAGTTTTTCACGTAACATTCTTTTTCCCTCTGCAATTTTTCTTGTTGTTTCTAAGGGTGAAACAATTAATTAGTTGGATTAATTGTTATGAATTGATTATTGAAATAATTGTCAACTATTTTAATAATTTAGCAACGGACTAGTGACCTGTTCAGTGTAACTTGTCTCTCACCCATTGACTGCTGGAGGCACCAGCACCCCTGGTGACCCCGCGAGGCGTGTATGATGATGGATGGATAAGTTAGTAATCGATTCATATTTAACTAGATTATAGATACTCAAAAAAATGCCATTTGTTGAAAAAAACAACACATTCATAGCAGAAACTAAGTCAAAACTATCCAAAAATATATACATTTTGAGTTGAAGAAAAATAAATCTGTAAAAATGTTCTATCCAGAACTTAAGGTGGCAATTCTAGATTCTTGTCAGCGCCTGGAGATGTCTGAATCATTCCTGCACGTATGCATGTGTTTTCCATTGCCCCCGCCCCATTCTCTCCCTACTCAGACTGCATGTTCTCTGCAGCCAGTTTTTTTCTTTAAGGGGCCGGGACTATTCAACAGCCTGGCTCGCACATGGAATTTTTTCACTTCCTATTCTCAGTGAAGACATAACGGCTGTAGTCAGCACAGAGGAAGTGCTACAACATTTTGTCTGATTGCAGTCTCAGATCAGCTGAATTGAAGCTCAAACTGGAAACATGGATATCTGAACTGAGAGCAGATCCCGAACCTGCTTGAAGGAAGGCATCAGAGGGAGCATGTGAGTGAGAATGTTGAGCGTCACAGTGGAATTACTGAGGAATGTTTTCTTTAGGGTGGGCTTAGAAATGACTGGCTGAGCAACGGACTAGTGACGGACGGATTAACTGTAGTTAATGCTCAGCTATACGGATGGAGGCTCAATTTAAAAATCTGTAGATTTTTCGAGTATGTGAACCTTGACTACAGCATGGGAAAACTGGATTATACCCATGAAATACCTAACAAATCGCTCAGATGTACTTAAAGGATCAAATATGGTTTGATGAGGTTTACTAAGTGTAAGCTTCTCATTTATAGTGTTTTTACATCTTCTGTGGTGATAGAACATATCTACAGCATGTATTTTAAGTCTGTACCTGAAACATGAGCTAGTGCCATTAGAATAACGCATGTTAAAAGTTTTATATTTTATAGTTTGGGCTGATTAAACACTGTGAAACCTGATAACATTTTAATTATTTAGACCAAAATGATTAGCTACAGATAAGGTTTCAAACAATACCACACCCACTGAGATACCCAGAGAATGATGGAGAAAAACTAGCATGTTAGGTTGATAATTTTCTTTATTGTTCTATTTAGTCATATCTGTGTTGTTTTTTCCCCTATATACAACTGTATAAATTTCTATGTTTGCAATTATTATTTGCTGATAATACACTGGAATTTCCCCAGTTAGAATCATTTTATTCTATTCTGGTAAAACCCATTGACATTATTCTTATGCATAGTCACAGTGAAAATAGTAGTTTAGAGTTTCACATATCAGGACATAATGAAAAACAATCTGGCTTTTGTTCTAAATGTTACAAGTTTTAAAATACAAAAGATTCTACACTCTGATTTTGTCAGAGGAATTTCATTCTACTCGTCAAACTCATTTCCAGCAAATTAAAAAGCACACCAGTGCACAGATGAAAGTTAGCAGTTCACTCTTTAAAGTGAACTGCTTTACTAAAGATAGACAATTTTTTAAAGGTCTTCCATCCATCCATCCATCGTCTGCTGCTTATCCAAGGTCGGGCTGCAGGGGTAGCAACTTAAGAAGGGAGGCCCAGACTTCCCTCTCCCCAGCCACTTCTTCCGGCTCCTCCGGGGGAATCCCGAGGCGTTCCCAGGCCAGCCAGGAGACATAGTCCCTCCAGCATGTCCTGGGTCTTCCCCAGGGCCTCCTCCCGGTGGGACGTGCCCAAAATACCTCACCAGGGAGGCGTCCAGGAGGCATCCTGACCAGATCCACGAGCCACCTCAACTGCCTCCTCTCGATGTGGAGGAGCAGTGGCTCTACTCTGAGTCCCTCCCGGATGACCGAGCTTGTCTCTCTAAGGGAGAGCCCAGCCACCCTATGGAGGAAACCCATTTTGGCCGCTTGTATCTGAGCTCTTGAGCTTTGGATCATGACCAAAAGAACATGACCATAGATGAGGGTAGTGTTAAAACTTAGAAGAATAAACTTCACTTGGCTTGTTAATTTTCCTCTAGTCTCCCAGATCCTGGGACTCCACATGCACAGGGGAAATAATAAAGAAACAACCATTCTACATCAGACTTCAGATATATCTAGAGTTTTATCCAGAGAACTCAATGCATACAGAATGTTACATCAGCATTACACCCAGATCAATGTTCCCTCTAATTTTTCATGTGTCTGGGCATACACACAAGCTTCCTGGGCAAACTGAGGACCACTGTGAGCATCATCAGTGTACACGGCGTGGCCACGCACAAGTATCATAAATCTGGGATCATAGAAAGTTGCATGGTTTATTAAAAAAATCTAATTACATCAGTAATTTTCATTCGTTTGCTTTTAATTTAAGTGATTTGCTCAATTAAAATAAAAAAAAGAAAAGAAAACATTGCTGTTCATGAGATGCATGCTATAAGTAAGAGTCCTGCTTCAGCCATGGTGAGAAATGAGACATTACACCTTTCAGACATAAATGTTTGTTCATATTAAAACATTCATATTTTGTACAATGAAATGTTTTCTGTAGCTTGTGATGCAGTATAAATTCTTGTAAAATATTTAATTACAGTTTTTTTCACGTCTGCCCTTCTCACGTCTTCTCACTTCTCCAGTGGTTGTACACTTAGCCCAGGTTGATGGGTCAGTCTGCTTCTTGCTTTATGTACTTGAATTCAGCATATTGACTATTAATGGCCTCCATAATCTGTGGGTGGAGGAGAATGGCCTCATACTTCTTTGCCAGTGTACAAATGTCTGCTTATCTATAGTCAAAAGTCTGAACTCAACATTTCAATATCAAATGCAGACCATTCCTTTCATTTGATTCGATTCCATTTGATCTAGAAGAAGTGCATTTCTTTCTTTTTTACTTTGGCTTGGTGAGTGGATGTCCCACGTAGACATGATAAGGTGATGGCTTTCACGTTTCTTAACTCTACCGCACTATTCTCACCTGCACGGCACATATGACCAAGGCACGTAACCCACGTACACACAGCCAATCAGCATGCGCTGATTGGCTGCGTAGCGAAAGTGAACCGTATCGTATCATTGGCTGGATTCCTGTCACTCACTGAGTTCGATCGCAAAGTAGTACGGAAAAAATTTTTTATTGGTCCATAGTCAAAACTGATGTCTGAGCTCAATGTCCACTTTACGTTGGACTTTATTTTATGCGCTACATAGATTTTCTTGTGCGCTGAGAATATGTGAGCAGTGCGCGATTGCGCAGGCGCGCAGCTTAGAGGGAACATTGACCCAGATCATCAAGAAGTCCAACACATGACAAAACATAGAATTACCTGCAATGAGTTGAAAGGGAAAGACAAAAATGCATTTTTGGGAATTGCTCACTCGGGCGCAAACAAAGAAATTCGATCTTCTGCTGTAAAACAGATCTCTCTATAATTGGAGCACACTCTCCAATCCCCCTTTTTAAAAAGGGCGACCACCACCCCAGTCTGCCAATCCAGGGGAACTGCCCCCGATGTCCATGCAATACTGCAGAGTCGCGTCAGAGTCGCGTCAGCCAACACAACCCTACAACATCTAGAGCCTTTAGAAACTCTGGGCGAATCTCATCCACCCCGGAGGCCCTGCCACTGAGGAGCTTTTTAACCACCTTGGTGACCTCATTCCCAGAGATTGGAGAGCCCAACCCAGAGTCCCCAGGCTCAGCTTCCTCAATGGAAGGCATGCCGGCCCACAACATCCCAAGTTGAGGTCAGCAGCACACCATCCCCACTATAAACAGTGTTGGTGCTGCACTGCTTCCCCCTCCTGAGACACCGGATGGTGGACCAGAATCGCCTCGAAGACATGCAGAAGTCTTTCTCCATTGCCTCTCCAAACTACTCCCACACCCGAGTTTTTGCCTCAGCAACCACCTGAGCCGCACACCGCTTCACCTGCCGGTACCCATCAGCTGCTTCCGGAGTCCCACAGGCCAAAAAGGCCCGATAGGACTCCTTCTTCAGCCTGACAGCATCCCTCATTGAAGCTGTCTGTCAACGGGTTTGAGGGTTGCTGCCACGACAGGCACCGACAACCTTTCGACCACAGCTCTGATAAGCCGCCTCGACAATGGAGGCACGAAACATGGTCCACTCAAACTCAATGTCCCCGACAGCCCCGGGGACGTGTTTGCAGCTCTGCCGGAGATGGGAGTTAAAGCTCCGTCTCACAGAGGACTCCGCCAGACGTTCCCAGCAGACCCTCACAACATGTATGGGCCTGCCAGGTCTGACTGGCATCCTTCCCCACCACCAGAGCCAACTCACCACCAGGTAGTGGTCAGTGGACAACTCCGCACCTCTCTTCACCCGAGTGTCCAAGACATATGGCCGCAGATCCGATGAAACGATGACAAAATCGATCATCAAACTGTGGCCTAGGGTGTCCTGGTGCCAAGCGCACATATGGAACCCTTATGCCTGAACATAGTGTTCGTTATGGACAATCCGTGATGAGCACATAAGTCCAACAACAGAACACCACTCGAGTTCAGATCGGGGGGAGCGTTCCTCCCAATCATGCCCCTCCAGGTCTCACTGTCATTGCCCGCGTGAGCGTTGAAGTCCCCCAGCAGAACGAGGGAGTCTCCAGGTGGGGCACTCTCCAGTACCCCCTCTAAGGACTCCAAAAAGGGTGGGCAGGCTGAACTGTCATTCAGCACGTAAGCACAAATGACACTCAGAACCTGTCCCCCCACCCGTAGGCAGAGGGAGGCTACCCTCTCGTTCACCGGGGTAAGCCCCAGTGTACAGGTGCCGAGATGGGGAGCAACAAGTATGCCCACCCCTGCCTGACGTCTCTCACCATGGCAACTCCAGAGTGGAAGTACATCCAGCCCCTCTCAAGGAGACTGGTTCCAGAACCAGAGCCATGCGTCGAGGTGAGACCGACTGTTTCTAGCCGGAACCTCTCAGCCTCACACACCAGCTCCGGCTCCTTCCCCACCAGAGAAGTGACATTCCACGTCCCAAGAGCCAGCTTCTGCAACCAAGGATCAGACCGCCAGGACCCCTTCCCTCGGCCACCACCCATCACACACTGCACCCGACGCCTTTGGCCCATTTCATAGGTGGTGGGCCCATGGGAGGAGGGACCCATGTTTCCTCTTTGGGCTGGGCCCAGCCGGGCTCCATGGGTAAAAGCCCGGCAACCAGGTGCTCACCAACGTGCCCCACCTCCAGACCTGGCTCCAGAGTGGGGCCCCGGTGACCCTCATCCAGGCGAGGAAAATGAGATCCAATCTTCTTATTCATTATTGGGGTCTTCAGGCTGCACTTTGTCTGGTCCCTCACCTAGGACCTGTCTGCCTTGGGTGATCCTACCAGGGGCATGAAGCCCCAGACAGGAAAGCTTTTAGGATTTTTGGGACACTCAAACCCCTCCACCACGATAAGGTGGTAGCCCGAGGAGGAGTTTAAAGGTCTTGTTATCTTAATAAATACAGAAGTATATTGATATTATACCTGCTGCCATCATCTGTTTTGGAGCAAAGTGCTTCCTCTCATGACCAATGATTGGCCAGTGCCACTGTGAAGTTATGAAAACATTTGTTTAAGTAAGGAACACGTGAGCCATCTGATTCTTCTCAGTGTAATTTATGAAAGCAAATGGTGACTGATCAATAATATGCTCACATAATGGCTCAGCTCTGCAGAGAAAAGACAATTACTACAAAGTGAGAAGTTTTATGAAGTATGTTAGCAGGTTGTGGGTTAGTCCTGAAGGTGAACATGTATCCTGTCCGTTATAGAACCATTATTTATGCATTACATAATATCAGTTAAGACTGCTAGACTGTTGAGAATGGTGTTTGTCATAATATCTGCATATGCCTCTGACCTTTCTCCAACAGTCCCTATCACACAGTGTGAACCACCAGCATCAACAGGCCATAAGCAGACATAAAACCCACCGTCTGTACAAGGTTAAAAATGTTGATCAGTCCAAGGTCTTTAATAATGTTCACATTAACATTTTATTGTTCTTAAAATTCATAAGAGCATCACATAAATGCCTGAAGCATCAACCTGTGATGTTTCAACAATAAGCTGTCCGGTTTCAGCAGATTGGACATTTCAGGATCGAGTTGAAACGGAGAGAGATAAGAGGTAGTAGAAGATACAAACAAGGATACATCTTTAAAGGCATCTCACAGTTGACTCCAATATGAAATCAATCTGGTGTTTCTGAGTATTATGACTCCATAATAGAACTGCAAAGATATTTAAAACAAAATTTCTTTGTGACTTCTTCTCCTGCAGGTACAGCTTTAGGCTGGTCTACATTTTCTCCTATAACTTGTTCCAATTCTGTGGTCACACATGGATCCTGGCTAACACCATCGCAAGATTTTTTACCTTTGGTCAAGGTAAGTCAAAAAGAATAAAATATGATCATCCTTCTGCATCACCATCTTTTCCCAAAAGAAAGCTGGATCTATCTGGTTGAAGCCAAGTGGCACTGTCAGCAACTTGTTTGCTGGTTTCTCCACTTTACATTGAGTTTATTGAACAGTTGAGGGTCATGAAAGTGGGGTCTTAATGAGCAACAGAGTTGGAATGAAAGTAACTGAACTCTGCAACAATCATTTTATCAAATAGTGCCTCTGTTGATGGTTTCTTCTTGTTAATATGTAACAGGTGTTATTCTCCACTGTTGCCCGGTACTTGCTTAGGGTGGTGGATAGGTTCAAGGAAGATTGAACTGAATGGTTTCCTTGGATAGGCAAGCCTTCCTGTCCTGGGATCATTAACTGTGGAATGGGAAACTAAACTGTACTGGATTTGAATCTGAATCTGCTAAATTAGAATGAGCTGAAATTCATCAAATGGATCTCATAAACTGTTTAAAATGCAATGTTTAGATGCAACCCGTTTACCTTATAAAGTTTCTGTGGAAATAACACTGAACTGAAGTGACATTAATGTAAAAAAAAGAGGGAGGAGTGCTTGCTAACTAGAAATAAATTGAAGCTTGTTTTTATGAAAGAAGTTCTGGATTACTGATAACTTTTGGCCTTCACCTGGGAAATAGAGAGAACAAAACTGCAGTTTAGCAGAAGAAAAACAGCCTGAGGAAGCCTTTAAATTCTGACATTTACAGAAGGATGCTTCTTTAAATTTTTATTGTTTTCTTTTTTTGAAGTTGTTAATTTACCAATATACAGCAAATATTTTTCTGAAAAATCAAACTGAACATCAGAATGATGGTTGTTGGCATCAGGCGAGATGGTTTGTTAATTTTAGAACCTACCATTCTACTAGAACTTTCACGAGAGGTGGACGGATTACAGTTTTCTGATCAAGAAAAAGCCTGAGTTGCTGATTCCGAATTTGGCTGATACTAATTTTTTCTCTAAAAGTTGCTAAATTTAAAGACAAAATTGCTAAGTTGTCAACAGTAGGGTTGTCATGAAATGCAGGTATAGTGAGGCAGACGCAGCAGACCCAGACTGAAATGAAAAGAAGATGATTTAATGATGAAAAACGTCCAGATCACAATCCAAAAAACCAGGCAGCACAGCTGAGCAGAAACTAAGGCTCAACACTGGTAGCAACAAGTATACGAATGGACAGCACAGTAGAAACAGACTGACTGGTACGACAAGACGAGGAACAAGGAACACAGGTGGGGTTAAATACACAGAACGAGAAACACCTGGGAACAATCAAGGGATAGACAGGACAACACGGAGACTCGGAGGCACAGAAACTCAAAATAAACACACAGAAAACTCAAATCCTGACAGGGGTGAGTATTATTAATAGTGCTCCATAAACATGACCTGGTGGGTATGTCAGTCAGTCCTCTCATGGCAGAGCAGAAGAAAACAGTGGCTGATTTTCAGACCTTTGATAAGGTGTGTACTCAGCCATCTTTCAGCTTTACTCAAAATGGTTTGAAAAATAAAAACTGGGAATTTTGCTCCAAGTATTCATAGTCAATGTATTCATAACGTCTTTCATCTAACAGGAGTGTAATGAACAATACCTAAAACCCACAAGACGAGATGCAATATTGAGTTCACCAAAGCGGGACTAAAACTGAACAACATTTTAACAACAGTTTCAAGACAAGATCAAATTTGTGACAAAACAGTCTTTCATATATTTAGAAGTTTTGTCACAAATTCAACTGATAGCTTTCTTTTTCTGATTTCTTGAATCTCCTCAGACTTTGGAGCAGAACTTTAGCTATGTGTGCCCTTCTAAATTTTCATAAAGAAATATGACATTCAGACCTAACTTCCCCAAAACTGAACATATACAAAAAAGAACTAAAAAATAAGTAAACTATTCTTTTTCTTTATGTTCTTTGCAAATTTTATGCCTTCATAAAAAGTCCAAATAAGGTCATTATTGGGAGCCTGGGTGTTTAGGTTCTTTTGTAGTTTGATTTCATTCTACTTTCATTATTACTTTGTGTTACTATCATATTTTGGTTAGATCTGTCTTGTTCCTGTTTTCCTTTAGTTCTTAGTGCTTCTAGTTATGTTCAATTATTACATGTATTGACACCCACACCTGCAATTACTTCGCTCATCAGCACAGGTATTTTGTTCAGCATTCAACCTTCCTAATATTTAAGCCTTTGTTTCTGACTCATTAGTATCCATTCATCTTCTGTCATCTTTCTCGTTTGCTCCCCATCGTTGGTGCCTCTTTAACTTCCTTTTTTGCCTTTCTCTGAAAATTAAAATTATTCATTTGCAAAAAATCACAAAAAATTAACTCTACGTTACGTGCCTGCTTCTTAATGGGTCCACTCTAAAAACATTGAACATGACAGAACTATCCGGCCGGTAGGACCCAGCAGAATTCCTGTATTTCATAGAATTTAAACAATTACAACTGATTTGGAAAATAATTAATTGACACCATTGCAAAACCACTCTCACTACCTGGAAGATTTGCTTTGTGGCGCCAAAGTAAATGAGGCCAGAGTTGATTCCAAATCTCCTTTCCATAGGCTTAACGGAGTGGCACCATCAGGCAGCTCTGCCAGTAATGGGTGGCAATCCACCTCCAGCTTAGCTAGAGCTCCCAGCCTTCTTTCCTTCTCCATAATTCCTGGTCTTGGTCTCCAGATCTCCAGCTGCGGCTTCATCTTCAGCAGCCACAGTCATGTCTCCTGCACCAGTCTTGTCTCCATCTATATTCTTAGCTGGAAACAATACCAGAACCCATTCTTACGTCAGCAGCAGCACCTCGGGCTGTGAAGCCAGGTTGTACGGCTAGCTCCCGGGCTCCAGACTACCCAGTCTCCCAAGCTCCACAGTGTTTTCCAGTCTCCTGAGTACCACAATTTTCTCCAGCCCTCTGCCTCTGAGGAATACAAGGGCGACCCCCCTCTGTTCCCAGTGCCACTACGTGATTCGCCAGCTCCTGAGCCTCTACATCAGTCTAAGATATACAACAGTCTTGAGGGGAGGATTTTAAGGCCCTTCAGCTGCCGCCAGCACTTGAAGTTTCACCAATGCTGGTGAAACTTAAAGCAAACTTCAACTGCAGTCATAGCCAACAACTCTGGCCTTGAGCTCTTTGTAGAGATAGAATGCTGTTCTTTGGTTCTAAAGTATTAAGAAGTCTTCTAAATCCCAGATTTTCCATAACAGAAAATGGCCTCATATTCTAATAAAGCTGCAATAAAAATGTCAATGTATGCTATTATTGCTGCAGCACGCACGAGTGTGGAAGCTGAGATGCACAAACATTTTTCAGCATGTCTGCAGTGTTGGTAATTTCTTCACTTGTGATAGACCCGAAGGTCTCTTTGCGTTATGCTGGTGTTAGTCATGGTGCATAGTAATATATTCTTGAAGTGTTTACATATTGTTCATGTCTTGTCTGTCACTCTGTTGCCGTTTCTCATTTCTACTGGAAACACAAAATGCTCCCAAACAAGTACTGGGGGTAACTTCTATTGCAACTTTATCAGGTGAAGCCACGCTGACTCGGACTGGCTTTACTACTGATCATTGTTTAAACTCCACAGCCTACCTGCGTGTTGTTACTGAACATGTCCACCCTTTCATGACAATGACCAGTGTCCAAATCTTCTAATAATTGCTTCCAGCAGGATAAAGTTATAAAGACCCAGCTTATCTCAAAATGACAATAAATTCATGTACTTAAAAGGCTTCCACAGTCACCAAATCCAAGCAGTTTTAAAAGTAAACTGCTTGTATCCAAAGACGGTTTTAGCAAGCTGTACCTAATAAAAGCTGTTGTGAGTGAAAGTAAGACTCCTCTCAGATGTTTCTCTAGTTTAGTTGCCTTTGGCGATCATTGCAGATGCTCTGGCAGACACATTCTACTCCGTGGGCTTTGTGATGAGCCTGTGCCAGCTGCTCTCCATCCTGGAGATCTTCCACATCGCAGATGGCATCGAGAAGGCTCGGCTCCTTCCTCGCTTCATCCAAGTGTGTGCAGCAGTTCACCTCTTTATTGATGTCATTTTAATTCTGACCAATCTCTGGTTTCATTGTGATTTCTTTGGTTAGGTGATTGAGAAAAACATTCTGCTGATTGTGGTCATCATGTTGGAAGAGATCCAAAGTAAGCCAGTGGTGTGTGTGCAGTTTTTCCTGTGGAATATACTGGCCCTCTTACGGTAAGCAAACAGCCAGTCACATATCTTTTGAGCACCATGCCCGTTTCACTCAGATCTTTAAAAGTAAAGATACGATTTTTGTAATAAATAGGTATTTGTTCAATTTTGCATATAAAAATTGATCAGTTAGTTGGATTCTTCACACTAAACCGATTCTATATTCTTCAAGCCAATCAAAGTGAATGTAAGGCTGCAGAAACTCAATAAGAAACCAAAAGCAAAAAATATATTATTTGATGTAAGTAATTGTAACTGCGCACCCATGCTTATTACTTAATCTGTGATACCTAGTTAAAAAAAACAACAGTATTTTGTTTTCTTTGTCACATAATATCTCTTTCACATTTATTGCATTATCTCTTTGTACACGATGTCACTTTATTATTTCCAAATCAAAAGAATTAGTTGGAGCTGTTTTCACATTTCCATTCCTAGCTAATGGCAGGAGTAGATGTTTAAGCTTTCACAAATGTAGATGCATCATCCAACGACGCTATAAGTGCAATTTCATTAAACAAGAGCATTCTTATCTTGAATGAAATTTTTTGCCACGTTAAATGTAATAAGCCTCCATATTTTATGTCTGTTGTAGTTTTTGAGCCAGAAGGATTTTAGCAATGTCTTGTTATAATTCATGCAAGTTAAAATCACCTAATTTTCGTCGGCCCATTTATTTTCTTCCCATACCTACTCTATGGTATTCAGATCAGAACTTCGAGGTCTGTTTTTACAAAGGTTCAGAGGCTTTTGGGGATACTGCTTGCTAACACTAAATTATTTTTTGTTTTGTGCTGCTGTGCCTCAGTTAAAAAAAACAACTCTTTCTGATGCTGGCTGGAATTTAACTTTGCTTCCTTCAGTTAAAGCACAATTAGAGGAAGTGGATTTGTGTAGAAATACAACTAAAGAGGACATTGCCAACTGTAATGTCCAAACACACTTCCCTTATCACATCAAAGAGTGCAACACACTGCATATCCATGTTGTCACATCTTGTGTGTCGTCTGTACTTCAGGTACCCCTATGAACTTCTGTGTGTTGTGAAAAGACCTTCCGTTGCCATGTTGTGGAGCCGTTACTCTCTTTGGATCCCCCTATACATCCTGTCAGTTGTCATTGAAGGTGAGTCTGCTTCAGAACTCTGAATGCATGCTGTGCCTTGAAAATTATGATGTCCCCTAAAATGTTTCGCATGTCACCTTACAACCAGGAACTTCATTGTATTTCACTTTACATCACAGAGTAACATAAAGTTGTAAATATGAAGCAAAAGGAAAATGCAGAAGACCTGAGACTAAGGCAGAGATTCCACCACGCTGCAGTTGTTTTAAAATGGCCTATTTAAAGTCCAGATTAAAATGCAACTGAGAATCTGTGGCAAAACTTCAGCCAATCAGGTGCTGAGAAGGAAAAGATCTTCAGCTTACTGGTTCCACAGAGTCTATAGCTGAAACTGCAACCAATGATGGTTCTGCAGCAGGGGTGTCCAAATTTATTGTCCCATGGGCCAAAATATGCAAGTTAAAAGTACAAGGACACAGTACAAAGATAAAAACTATAACTTTTTGAAAAGCCGACTCTACAAAAAATTTTCAGTTTTTTACCTGCTGCACATCAAATTATGTAGAATTTTACTGAAACAAAGTAGTACATCTTTTTGTAGGAAAGAGGTTGTCATATTAGAAACTACACACTTGACCCACATGCAGAAACACAAATAGGAGATGGAAAATGACTCAGATGAATAAAGTTTATTTGTTCAAACATAAATAATTGGCGTGGTTTGTGATTTGTCTTGGAGGCCACTGGATTAGAATTGGCTCTGTGCTGCAGGCAGAAAAAGGAGAGGTGAGAGGAATGTTGAACTGACACAAACAAAATTAAGGAACAAGCTTATTGGGAGAGGTGAGGAGCATCTGCTGGGAAGGGGAACTGAGGTCGGGAAAGCTGACGGGGGGGAAAGAGGCGTCTGGTACAGGGTCCGATGGTTGGAGGATTCTCTGGGGGGGGCGCAGATAGGATAGTCGTTGGAGAGCGAGCAGGTAATCACATATCTGTAGGATGAGGAGTGGGTCTCGGCCAGTTTAGATTGTGTTCCAGAAATCTCTTTAGCGGAGGTTCTTGGGTTATGGATAGATCGCAGGTTTCACAAGGGGACTTCTCAGGGCACCACAAGAAGTAGTCCTGCAAGGAGATATAGAAAGACAAAATTCAGGCTGTTAGAAACACGGATAAAACACTGAGAACTAAGTTCAGGGGGCTTAGAGTACCATTAGAGGTTTACACTCAAGCGCTGGAGAACCGGCTGCCCGCTCCTCTTATGCTGGTGGTGATGATGCCAATTACACACAGGAGTGCGGGAACCACCAACAGACTGCAGCCTCCTGGCTCCTCCTGGTGGAAAAGAGAAAAGGCTCCCTACAAAACCAGATGCCAGCACCCAACAGAGGTCAAAGTTAAGGCAAAATCTGAAAAGGACTGTCTTATGTTTGTCTCACTGAAAGAAAAGTATCCAGCTTGAACATTATGTGGGACTCAATTGGAAAAAGAATGTACAAAAATTCTATCTTCAGTACAAGAACAGGATGTGCGTCACTGTTTCTCTGGAAATGGCTGCTGTACTTTATATACATTTATATTGATCCTTTTATGATTATTTATTTATTATTGGAGCCTTACAATGGAATCTCTTTAAATTTGTATATTTTAAATGTACAGTTGAATGACAATAAAATCTGTCTATGTCCATGTGTTTGATCAAGCTTAATAAATTAATTAAGTGCAAATTTGGGTGCATTAAAGTCTGCTTTAGAATAAAACTCACTGGATGAATGCAGTCTGATTTACTATGTGTTGTACCCAACTAATTTTGTCCAAATGAAATAATCTCCTTCCACCACTTTTGCTGGAGAGGCCAATCTTCAATTAAAGTCCAAAGGCTGCCAATGGCCCCTCATCCGCACTTTGGACACCCCGTTCAACAGAATCCTGACTGGAAACAAATGTACAGCCACACTTTCCCTTTTGTAAAGTTGGGTAACATTCTCCACTTGTGAAGCAGGAGCCTAAGGGGCATGAATGGTTTTATAAAATCTTGAATGTGAGCTACTGATCAACAACACACTAGGTGTTCTGATGTGCAGGGGAGGTTGTGAGAAACTACAGGGAATGGAATACCAAAGAACTACAGATTATAAAACAGGATGTGTGTGAAAACATCTCATTCCAGCTGTGTGTGTGGTTGTGGGCTGCTGACCTGTGCAGTTAGTCAGGTTAAGCTGAGGCCAGTTCTCTCTGTTCTCCAGGTTTCATTATTTATGAGGCACTGCCATACCTGAAGCCATCAGCCCCCCACTTTCCCTGCCTGCTGCTGGTCTATCTGCCGCTTCTCGCTATGGGTAAGGAAAGAAAGCAGTCCGAATGAAAACACACACACACTGCATGGGGCCTTCATTACGTTGCTTTCACTTTTCTGACATTTTATCCTCATCCTATCTCAAAAGTTCTCTCTTATAAAGATGCCTTTGGGCTCTGATGGACATTAGAATCCACTCCTGATGTTCTTTGAAGATTCTCCTGGATTTTTTTTTCTTTTTTTTTTTCCTTTATTTAACCAGGTAAACCCCATTGAGATCTGGATCTCATTTTCAAGAGGGACCTGGGCAGAAGTCTGCAATACACAGCAACCTGGCTACAAAATAAAACCAATAAATACATATGCACAAGTATAAAGCAATAAAACAAGTTAAAAGCAGTGACAGTTACATAGACTCTTGTTGCCTATCTTTAAGAACCATTCAAAATCATTTCCAACATCTTGAGTACTGACTGAAGTTGATTCCAGGCTGTAGGAGCCATCATACTGAATGCTTGCTTCCCTTTTTCAGTTCGAAGATGTGGAACATGCAAAGGAATAAAGTTGTTGGAGCGTAATGAATGAGAATTAACAGAGCTATGTAAGAGAGTGCTTAAATATGCTGGGGTTAGGCCGAGTAGAGATTTGTATATGAAGATCATGAAATGATTGTTTCTCCATGCACTTAATGGAGGCAATTCAGCTTTTGCATACAAATCAAAATGATGTGTAACTACCAGTTATAAATCTTAAAGCACAATGATACACAGTGTTCAATGTTTGAAGACAGAGATGAAGAATGGCAGTACATTATTAAATCATCTGCATCAAAATGCTAAAAAGCATTTGACAAATTGTCACACAAGTTCTTTATATAAACAGAGAATAAAAGTGGACCAAGAACTGAGCCTTCAGGCACACCATTTAAAATTGTGAGAATTGAAGAAGTAAAGTCAATTACTTTCAATTAAAAGTGTGTGATTTACTGTGTCAAATGCCTTTGATAAATCAATAAACAAAGCAAACACAATGTTTTTTGTTATCATGAACCTGTGTAAGATAATTGAAAACATTTAAAATAGCAGTAACAGTGTTATGTTTTTTCTAAAACCAGGCTGTACAGTTAGAATCTAAGAAAATCTTGAATTGATCTGGAATTAAGTTTTAAAATTTTTTTGCTTGGATACATAGTTTTGAGATTGGCCTGTAATTGTTTATCTGCGATGATTCCCCACCTTTAAATAGAGGCAAAACAAATGCTGATTTCCAGACATGTGGGATTATGTTAGATATTAGACTTAGATTAAAAATATGAGCACTGCTATAAACTCTGCAGCCAACTTTAGAAAAAAAAGGATCCAAGTTATCTGGCCCTGCTGATTTTCTGGTATCTATGTTATTCCATTTTCTAAGAACCTCAGCTGTACAAATAGAGGAAAAGTCAAAAGTGGTAAAGTTACAATGATAATTCAAAAACAGTTCATTAATATTTGCATTTTGGCTGAACGAATTTAAATCATCAAATAGAGAGCCTACAGAAGTGAAATGCTCATTGAAATAATTTAAAACTGCTAATTTATCAGACACCATGTTACTTTTGTTCCAAACAAAATTTGAAAAGTCACTCAGTGGTGCCTGCTCAGTAGCTGATTTGACTGTTTTCCAAAATTTCTTTGGATCATTTACATTTTTTGCCATTTCGGCAAGGAAATAGTCTGACTTTGCTTTCTTAATTAATGTGGTACATTTATTCCTCAATTTCCTAAAACAGAACCAGCTCTCCTCACTATTGTTTTTTCTTGCCCTAGTCCAAGCTGCATCTCTTTGTTTAAGCTGAGGAAAACTATGGATTATTTTACCCCTTCACTCTAATTTTATGTACAGGAACATGTTTATTTATTGATCTTAAAAGCTCTTCATGAAAATACTCCCAGGCAAAGTCTACATTATCTAAAAGAGAAACTCTATTCCAATTAAAAAGTAACAAGTCATGAACAAAAGCTTGCTCATTTAAGTGTTTTAAATCTCTTTTTGATCAAGATACTTGGCTTAGGTTTTGGTAACTTGAGATTTCTAACTACCTACAGCACAATGATCACTAAGGTCATTTGCAAAAACTCCTATTCCTGTATATTTATGCAGAGCATTTGTCATAATTAAGTCAAGGAGTGATGATTTTAGAGGGCATTTGTTATTAGGTCGGGTGGGGAAGTTAATTAACTGGGTAATGTTTAAAGAATCACAGATAGTTTTCTGAAGATGCTGTCAACCAGTCTAAATTTAGATCTCCTAACAAAACAAATTCATTATTGTTTCGGTCAGCTAGATATTTGTACAGATTAGGAAGTACATCACAGACAGCAGAAGGTGGTCGATAACATCCGATAACTGTGATATTCTGAGCCCTAGTGAATTCAATTGTCAAGGCTAGAAACTCAAATTGTTTTGGAATAGATACAGAGGACAGGAGTGTGACATGAAAGCTGTTCTTTACATAGCTGTAAGGCGATTGCAACAAAAACATTATGACCTTCTAACATTATGACCTTTATTTGTAATAGATTTGTTTAACCATGTTTCATTCAAAACTAAGATATGCGTATTGGTAGTTTCGATCCAGATTTTTACCAAGTCTATCTTAGGCAAGAGACTGCGAGAGTTAATATGTAATATACCAAGACCTGATCTGGTTTTGAATTCTTTCGGTGTGTCAAAGTTGACGGTGGCTAGGAGTCAAGGCTGACTATGGCAATCACTCAGGGCCAAATCAGAATAATAGATCTGGAATTTGAGCAATTTCTCTGGTTTATGTGTATTTGCTATTGCTTTGTGTTGTTCACATAAAAATACAAAAAGTATTTGGTCAAAAAAAGAGTTAGAGATAAAACCTGAGCCAGCCTTTCTAACAGCAGATGTGCTGGTGTTTCCTGCAGGAGGCTCGGTAACAGTCTGGCAGCTGCTGAAGGAGAGGAAACACCATCTGGAGAAACTCTACAAGAGGAAGAAGAAGAAATGACTGGATTCTTCGGGGACAATGGGATGACTCTGTTTTCAAACCTGCAATCCATTTCAAATGAACATTTCAGATTGCACAAAAGGAAAAAAAGAAATGGCAGATTTTTGCAGCAGTTTAATGAAGACATGTTTTTGACTGAACAAAGAACAACAGCAGCAGTTTCCACTCAAGTTTATCTCACCAAGTAGGGCAGATGATATGTACAAATGTTACCATGGTAACACCCCGCCTTGGATTCTGTGAGCTACCATCCGTAAGCTCTGGTCCACACGGCTTTCTTCTTGAACTCGGTGGACGACTTCAGACCCAGGAGAGCGTCTGGAACCAGATCAGAATATGGATGGTCAGATGGATACCAGAATGAATAAACCATTCCAAACTCACCGTTCTAACATTCATTCAGGTGATTTGTACAAGTTCCCATGGAAAGTTTCTACTACCTGCAATCAGGGGGCTCCCATCTATGAAGTAAAATTTACTCCAATAAAGTAAATCTCACATTATTGGATTTCATAGTTGGGCTTTGTTATTAAGTCCAACTCTGAACTTTAAATCCCGGAAAAAAAATCACATAAGCTTAAAATATAAATCAAAATTTCTGTTACTTAAACATGTGCCTTCATCTACTGGAGATGATAATTCAAAATAAAATGTTAAAATGGCTTAAGGAAATCTGGATATCTAGGCTGCTTTCAAAGACCTTAGGAGGGGCAGGGGCTCAAAATCAACAGGGGCATATTGAACACAAACACCGTACAACAACACAGCAACAACCCATATTAATCAAGAATCTATTTGGATAATACTATATTTTTGCCATCATGCAGGGACAATGCAAAGCAAATGGAGTATATTTTCCCCAACAGGTATAGAGTTTCTGTTTCTGCTGCTGATAGTCCTGGAGGGCTGAGTTGATCTGAGACTGTAGCTGTTAAACAGACCAGAGGAGAGAAGTACAAAGGTTATGAAGTTATGAAATAAGCAAATTTGCTGCCATTTTACTGATTAAGCCCTAATATCTATTTAACTTCTAGAACAACTTAGCTCCAGACTGATTTATAGATAAAAAAAAAAAGCTCAAAGGGGTTAACTCCATATACTCTGAGACCTAGAATTATTTATAGAGAATGACAATGTTATTAAATTTTATTTAATGGATTCAGCTGAGAATGTCATGTTCCGTGTTTTTCCTTGTGTTTATTTGAGTTTTCTGTGTCCGAGTCTCCTCGTTGCCCTGTCTTCCCCTTGAGTCCTCCCAGGTGTGTTTCGTCTCTGTGATTACCCTCTGTGTTTTTAACCCCCTGTGTCCTTTGTTCTTCGTCAGGTCCTTGTCGTTTGTCGTTCCTGTCCACCAGTATAACTAGTTGCTACTGGTGTTGAGCTCCAGCCTCACCCTGCCTGGCCAGGGTGAGGCCTGGCAGGTAGCTTCAAACAAGTTCTGAAGCTACTGAAATGCTAAAGGCAGTGGCGCCAAAAGTGGCTATGCACTGAATGCAAAGCATCGGGGCGATGCACTAAAGGGGGTGCAAAAACGATGTGGGGAATTTTCTTCGTTTGCGTTCCCTCGTAATACTGCACTGATCAGATATGCACAATAATTGAATACTGTAAGCCTTTCTTCCGGTGGCCGCCGTACTTTCTGCTTTAATAAAAGGTTATGTGAGGTTTTACCATGAATGTTAAAATCTCTTTGTGAAACATCTCAAGTTTTATAACTTATTTAGGATAGAATCGCGGTAATTTTGATTGTGTCTGTTGTGTTCGTAGTCTGAATGGTTGAAAGGGCCGTTTTCATGTTCAGCTCCATCTCAACCTTAACAAGCATAAACGTGCAGTTAATAAATCGACTTTCAATCTGTTTTTTCCACCAAAGACTTAATAATAATAAACACGTTTTATTATCATAAAACAAGACAAACTTGTTGGTAATGATGGTAAAGTGAACTCGGGAAATCTCATGTATATCAATCAACTGCAATCCATTTCTTTATTCTGTCACAATTATCGATTTGTGCCATTTTGATCATCATGCTCCAAACTTTGCAAGGACTGACCTCCCCGCTCACCGCTTCCTCACACACAAAGCCAGTAACCTTCAGTTCATACTTGGTGATGTCACATCGACACACCCACCACCCATGTCAAAGCCGTGTGCTGCTGTCATATCAATAATTACTTATTTCATTCAGATGGCTCTTATGGAGCTTCAGTGAAAATGTTTTATTCTTATTAACTCTTTAGTGCAAAACATTGATTGAAAATAGATTTATTTACTGCATGTTTAAGATGGAATGGCACTGAAAGCAGCACTTTAAACTATTTAGACAACCAGCACAAAAAACACACAATCAAAACTGTCAGATGACTGATTATACCGCAATAATAACTCAGAAATAGTCCAAATTAGGATGTACCTTTATTTATTTACTACTTATGGAATGTTTCTATTTATATCACAGGGTTTTGGTGCCTTTCTATCCTAAAGAAAAATATATAAAATTTTAAAAAATTCACAGAGATTTTAACATTCATGGAAAAACCTCACGTAACCTTTTATTAAAGCAGAAAGTTCAGCGGCCATAAGAAAGGCTTTCAGTATTCTATAATGCTGCATAACTGATCAGTGCAGTATTGCGAGAGAACGTAAAGGTTTTGCGAGGGAACGCAAAAGGAAAAAATTCCCCATGTCCCCTTTGGAGCTCATTCGTTCTAAACTATAAATAGTAGGATTAAGTTATTTTTTTTCTGAGTTTCAACACAATGTGCGGAGGCCTAAATAACATATGGAGTAATCGAGTAAAAAATATGCTGTGGTGTAAGTAAGGTGTAGTGGGATTTATGCATTATCCTGCTAATTACAGTTCAAAACAACATGTTAACATACTTCCTATTATTTTTAATGATGGCTTGCCACACACTGGTTTGCCTATTGCACTTGTTGCCTTGGTCATGGACAGAATGATGTCTGTCTTTGTCTTTTACATTGACCAAGTGTTTCCCTATATCAGGTGTGTTGACCTTTAAATCACCTTGGGTGAGACTGAGGTAACCAGTCAATGCTGCTCTGTCCACTACTCCAGGTCTGCACCTGGTGGTGGATGCAAATGCAGATCATGATCAATATCATGGTGAACATTTAATAAATTTTACAAATTGATAAGGAAGTAGCAGGGAAATTGGTGACAGTTGTGAATCTGAGGGAACAGGATGATGTGACAGCATATAGACCAGGGGTGGACAATCCTGGTCCTCGAGGGCCGGTCTCCTGCAACTCTTGGATGTCTCCTTGGTCCAACACAGCAGAATCAAATCGCTGAATCACCCCTAAGTGCAGTCAAGTTCTCCAGAGTTCTGTTAATGACCTCATTATTTGACTCAAGTGTGTTGAAGTAGAAACACATCTAAAAGTTGCAGGAGACCGGCCCTCGAGACCTGGAATTGCCCACCCCTAATATAGACTGAACACTGGTTCTGGATAGAAAATAGTTGGAGCACAGCCTTCCACCAGCATGCTTCCCTTCCAGAGAACCTCCAGGCTCCTGAGGCCCAGCTTCCACATGCTTATCTTCAGACTCTTTTCAACATACCAGCTCCATGGACACCTTGTTCACTGAACTAAGCTGGGTGGAAACCTCCTGTGTTGTCATTTCACTGCACCTGTGAGATGTCCAACTTATAGGCAGCCTCGCTCTGAAATGTTCCTCTGTAAATCATCACATCCTTTCTGTTTTCATAAGGATGTCATATAAAATTAGTTTCTGCAGTAGCCAGATAGTAATTACCTATTACAGTGAGCCACCGTTCTTCATTGCCAGACATCTGCCAGTCAAATGAATGTACTGTGGCCTGCAGTGAGGTATTTTATATTCTTTGTATGTCGTCCATCAGAACACACCATATAAATGGTAATTATTGTACAGCAGGAGGCAGTTACAAGGCTGTTATCATATTCTCCCTGTTCTTAATTAACTTATCCACTCAGCACACGATTTCTAGCTTAAAGGGCAAATTGTAAATTGGCTGAGGGAGTCATTTCTTCTCTGGAGATGTGATAATTCAAATAAAGCACACCAGCATTGCTCAGAATAACTCTTTGATTCTCTGTTATGTTTTGGAGAAAAATAGCTTGTGGGGAAGCTTTGTTGTGGTCTTTAACCCTTCTAAGCAGGAGAAGGGTTAATGTTAGACTTTCTGGTGGTTGGGGGATCCAGTTAAGCACTGATTTATAAAGCTGGGCTTGTGCTTTCAAAAGTGTGTCACTCTCCCTGGTCTGCTAATAACATAAGCAGAGAGGACGGAAATGTTTGACTGTATTTTACATACACAGGATGTCACGTGTACATTTGATTCCTCTTCTGAAAGACCAAAGCAGACACAAAACTGGGAAAGCAGATGGCATGTATGACTGAGACATTTTTTGCAGGCTGATGTTTTCTTCCAATTGTACAGTTTTATACTTGAATGATGTAAGATTTCATCAAACCAGTGTTAGGATATTTTCCTTCTGATCACAACTGTTCAGAATCTGTCAACTTTTAAGCAATTGTAAGAGTTCTGCAGTATGATGCACTGCAGATGAACCCTGCCTTTGGTGGAGTTCTGTTAACTGTTTCCTGTTGAAGAGCTGTTGGGTGCAGCCACAGTGCACAACTTCCTGTTGCCTTATTGTTGCATAGGCTGGAAAGCAGGTACACAGATTAGATGTGGAACAGAGAAGACGCAAGGAGTAGATAGACTGCAGGTGGACGACTTTATGTATCCATTGTCCAAAGAAAAGGGCAGTCATAAAGTAAAAAGGAGACTGCAGGAAGGGTGAGGAGGTCAAGCTCTGATGAGTCTCTATCAGAGATTGACTGTATAAGAGAAAAAAATCAAACCTCTGCATCCTGTGTTCTAAATGATTGGACTATTCCCTTAGGCTGCTGACCTTAGAACTTCTGTAGATAGTAATTACCTATTATAGTTAGTATGTAACACAGGTTTTGGATGAATAACACAGCTTGAATTGAATACAGAAAAATATAAATTTCAAAAGAGCCTTCAACTTAAAATAATTACTAAATGACTATGTATTTAGCATATTTAAATGTGTTAACATAAATATTTAGTTTGTTAACTAGATATTTTGTTTGAAGCTAAATAGTTTACTCACTAAATATTTAGCTTATTTAGCTAATCAACTAAATATTTAGTTGGTAAACTAGATATTTAGCTTATATGTGAATAAGACTAAGTGGAACAGTCTTAAATATAGTTAAAAAACTTTAAGCTTTCTTCCTAAATATCAAGTGAAATTTAAAACTGACATTTATGAATGACATGGTGAAAACATAACTTTTTTCTCTTATGAAAGGCTAAATGACCCAAATTGTTAATATTTAAA